GCAAGCAGGGCTCCAGTGGAGTCCCCTGTTACTCGGCTCAGAACCACCAGGCTGTGTGAGTGTGGATCTACTTAAAGGCCACAACTCCTCACAACGACGAAATTCAGTTTCAGACACGCCAGGGTATTCATCCGACGCCGTGGGCCCGATATTCAGTATGCAATCGCGTCTCCTTTCCCGGGCCAGTGAGATAACTGTAGCCAGAGTACACGCGCACGGGGAGATGACCAAGAAGAGGCTCTCTAGATCACTCCAGGCAAAGTTAAACCAAAGAGGGACCTCTCAGGACTCCCTGTCCACAAAAGGGCAGCTACCACTGGGACCCAGTCAGATACCTGCAAGGATGATCCACAACCAAGAGGGAGTCAGCTTCTTTGACACGCTTGTGCACAAAATCAACCTTGTCACGGTTCACCGTATCCCCAAAGAAAACGACATCCGGCTTCAGAGGGGCCTCCACATCGCAACACAGGATGGCACCTGAAAGCTCCGGACCTGCTCCTCCGAGAGAAAGACGTCGCCATCAGGAGCCACACCATGGGCCTCAGCACTCCAGGTGGGTTCAGGACTTGGAGGCGCTCCTGCAGCGTCCCCCGGGGAGTCTGCTCGCCACAGTCCAAGCAGAGGACCCTGACACCAAAGGAGGCGAATGAATGAACAGTATTCCCCTGGAAGGCACCAGCTGCCCAAGATTTTGCATCCCCAACCATTTTCAACCCCCCCATTCGCTGCTTGCTTTTCCTAGCACACAGATTCCCCTGGTTTTAGGCATGCTTTCTCATGACCTCCTTAGCTACCTCCCTGTTTATCACCTCTTTTCGACTGTCAACCTTTCAGAACAAGTAATGTGCATCTGTCTTCTTACCACACACCTCCCCACCTTCTGCTAGCTGGCTTGCATCCTTAACACAAACTACAAAAGCCTTGCCCGCTGATTTTCTGAGTGCCAAAGCCAGTGTTTTCCCCCTCTATCCCTCTGCTCTGTTCATCTGCTGTCATTGTCACCATTTATCACGCCCCTCTTTTTATGATACTTCTCCCAAAAGGAAGGAGGAGTCTTTCTCCAGAAAACCCTTAGCATGGGAGGAGGAAGATCTATTCAACTTTGCTCAGGAGGAAGGATGTAGTGACTTCAGGTTGGAGGCCGAAGGCCAGAGCCAGTCACCTTGGCTGCAGGCCAGGTTCTTTGCCCATCAAAGCCACATTGGGGATGTCACCAACTAGGCAGTCCTGCCTCCCACCAAGCTCTGTTCCAGGGCCTATGTCTGGGCTGTCAACTATTTACTAAGCCCTTGCTGTGATGGATACAGAGAGACCTCATACCCATGTGCATGTAAACACTTGAAAACACTATACAAAAAACAAATACTTCTCCCCCTTGGTTTCCATGACACAGAGCCTCCAGGTTCTCTTCTCTGCTCTGTCAGCACCAGAGCCCTCCGTGAAGGCAAGCACTTGTGCCTTTTGACCAGTGCCCTATGCCCACCACCTAGAACAGTGGCTGCACACAGTGGCACTCACTAAATAGCTTTTGAGGCCGGCACGGTGGCTCACGCCTGTAATCCTAGCACTCTGGGAGGCGAGGCAGGTGGATTGCTCAAGGTCAGGAGTTCAAAACCAGCCTGAGCAAGAGCGAGACCCCGTCTCTATTAAATAGAAAGAATTAATTGGCCAACTACTACATATAGAAAAAATTAGCCGGCATGGTGGCGCGTCCTGTAGTCCCAGCTACTCGGAAGGCTGAGGCAGTAGGATCGCTTCAGCCCAGGAGTTTGAGGTTGCTGTGAGCTAGGCTGATGCCACGCACTCACTCTAGCCAGGGCAACAAAGCGAGACTCTGCTTCAAAAAGAAAGAAAGGAGGGAGAAGGAGAGAGGAGAGAGAGAGAGAGAGAGAGAGGAGAGAGAAGGAGAGAGAGGAGAGAGAGAAGAGAGGAGAGAGAGGGAGAGAGAAAGAGAGAGAGAAGGAAGGAAGG